ATTAATCTAATCTTGGCCGTCCATCTCCTCATATCCTGGGACTCCTCCAACGCATCAAGGAAAGTTGCTCTCTCTGCCAGAAGATCTAGCTGCGCTTCGAACCTGTCGTGGAACCGCCTGCCCTGCCAAAGATGACCAGCTCGGACCATATTTGAAATCGAATCGCTCTGTAAATCAAAATTTGGCCGCAGAGCCAGCATGATCTGATGCGCGTAGCAATCCAACCCGCATACAGTGAACTCCGAAACCGTACCCCGATGTTGTCTCGCCGACTCCTCCAAAACCCTTGGATGAGCTTGTTGCAAACATGGGCGTCCTTCGTGAAAACGACGAGCTTCTCTGGGAACATATCTAGTGCAGGTCCACATGCATTGTCTACGTCAATCTTGGCGCCAGGCCTCGGCGGGAACATTGTCCACTGCTGCCAGCGGTTGTGTATTGTCCCCCAGTTGCCTCGCGGCAGCGGGACAGCAGGCGTCGCGAGCTCTAGGGCCCTACTCAGGCAAGTCGGCTGTGGTTCGAGCGGCACGACGTGCAATACTTGAGACAAGTTCAGAAATGTAGTTCGTTTGTTCCGGCCACGCTTCTTCTCATGCTGATCTTTGTCTTGGTGGGGCTCATCAGGGTCGTGTGGTCGTGGCGGCCGTCGTGCCCACATGTCTGCATCATCCATCGTCGACGTGACTAGCAAACCGCGCGACCCTGCTGTGCCTGCGCTGAGGAATGATCGTGTGCCATCTGCTTGAGCGCGGACGTGGGAGACAACAGCGCGGCGAATCTCGGCACCCGTCGATTCTCTGATATCTACGGCGATCTGGAGGCCAGCAGCACGAAGTTCGTGCGTCCTCAACATCTTATCCTGGAGATTTGTTGCCACCCCCCCCCCCCCCATTTTCAACGGCGAACATCCACTGAAGATCGTTCGGTTATGGGCCATAACCGAGCGACTTACAGTGGATGTTCGCGCACGCCTGGGAGGTAGGGGTAGAACGGTCATCGGGGGGGAGAGGGTTGCAATGATGTGATATGGGTGTTGTCGTATGTGCATGCGTATGTGTAGGTATATAGATACTAGCAAAAGTCTCTGGGCACGGGATCCGTCATTCGCGGAAGTATTTGATAATGATTGGGGCCAAGGGCGGATTAACATCTACAGTGCCCCAGGCATGTTGGGTCAGGGGCGGTGGCAACGAATCGTGGGGGTCCTTCGCGTCCAGAGCACACACGCCGAATGCCGCCGTGCTACACCGTTCGGCGAAGCTGCTGCTGGCCTCCTGCACTCTCTGATGCGCGCTGGCCGCCAGGCGCCTCTGAACGCCTGCGGCGATCCTGGCACGGTGCGCATCTCCGAGCCTGCGGCCACGACCTCGCCCAGCGTGTTGGACAGGGGCCCCTCTGCGGCCACGACCTCGCCCAGCAGCTGGGACAGGGGCCCCTCGTGCGCGGCCACGACCTCGCCCAGCATGTTGGACAGGGGCCCCTCGTGCGCGGCCGCGACCACGCCCAGCAGCTGGGGCAGGGCCAGGGCCTGCATGGCCACGGCCTCCACCGTCTGCCTGGGGCTCTGGCGCTGGCGGCGGGCCGCCGCCGTCCAGCGACAGCCTCCACATGGAGGTCCAAAATGGATCCTCGAGCCAAAATGGCTACGCAGTGGTTGCGTCGGTAGGCGACGTGTCGAGTCTGAGCGTTGTGAATGCATCGATTGTGGCCCGAACTTGCTAATGTGCGCGTTGTGTGATGTGTTTGTTTTCTTGTGCGTGCTCAGTGTCGTGCGAGAACCAACGGGGACCGAGACGCACCAAGATCCCAAACTCTTGTGGACACAATGGGTCCTAGGTTAATCAACGGAAGTGAATGCTCGAATGTTAGAATCGCCTGTTTCCTAACTATTGTTCAACATGGTTGGGAAATGTATTGACGTAGCCAACCTCTTGGGGCTCCCTACGTGGGCGGATGGGACCATCGTTTTTCATGCATGATGGGCGCAGGGGCGAAAACCAAAAGTACCCAGAAGAGCCGTTACGATCAAAAAGTTATATGTCGCCGTCGGGGGACCACGACACTGCGGGCAAGCATTCGCAACGACGCGCCCACGATTATGGTGATGCGCGTGTGTGTAGTTACGAGTGCGCTTATTGCCGTTTTCATTGTGATAGACATGCTTTTAATGAGTTGCCGATATTGGTTGTTATATCTGGTTTCTGGGTGGGATAATATATGTTGCCCAAGCTGCGAAGTGTCGTGTGATGAAAAGGGGGCGCTTAGAAACCTAATCGCTTCATGTGCGTACGTTGTGTAATAATCCTACGAGCACAGGCTGAGAGACCCCAGTTGAAATTGCAATTACCACGGATAACACCTTCACGCACGTCGAGAGAATCGCATTGGACACGATTGCCTACAACAAATACTATTGCACAAAAGCTGGAATATCAAAAAATACAAGCCATGCCCATGGACTTGTTACCCGAAATATTTAGACACATAGGAAATATGTTTCCCAACAGCACCTTTACATGGGGCGAAAACATGTTGAACTTATGCCCCTTGTAAAGATCTGAACTGAGGGGCTCTGGGACCTTCCTGAAACGTTTTTTACTCTTATGCAGGAGGCAGCCATACAAATCCTCCTCCGCGTCCTCCTCCGCGTCCTCCTCCGCCTCCTCCTCCGCCTCTTCCTCCTCCTCCTCCTCCTCCTCCTCCTCCTCCTCCTCCTCCTCCTCCTCCTCCTCCCCCTCCTCCTTCCTCCCTCCTCCTCCCTCCTCCCTCCCTCCCTCCACAATTACACAATATGAAAATACTCTCCCACTTCCCCTGATGGCGTCCCGAGGATATCCGACACCCCCCCGCGTATTGTTTTTGACACACAGGATTCCCGGGAAACGGGTTTTCGCTTGCGTTTTTGTTTCAAATGCTGCTCTCGCTGAGGCGCCGGCCTCATTTTCGGGCCCCGCTCGTTCCGAATCGTGCTCCCGCTGCAGCGCTGGCATCATTTCCGTGTTTCCGCTCGTTCCGAACCGTGTTCCCGCTGCAGCGCTGGCCTCATTTCCGCGCTTCCGCCCGTTTCGACTCGTGCTCCCGCTGCAGCGCTGGCGCCATTTCCCGTGCCATGCCACAGCACACGCGCACACGCGCACACACGCGCACACGCACACACACACACCGCGCGCACGCGCGCACGCGCGCACCGCACGCACGCACGCACGCACGCACGCACGCACGCACGCTACACGCACGCACCGCGCCTACGCACCCACACAAAGAAAAGCCACAGGACACAGACACAGACACAGACACAGAACAGACACAGACACAGACACAGACAAGGACACAGACAACATTTACGTAGCCATTTGGCTCAGGACATGTAGCACCCGCGACATTCGCGGAGTCGTTCGCGGCGCCCCTGGCGCTCGTGAGCGCGAGGGCTCTTGCTTTGGCGCCAGCTCACAAGTGATGTTCTTCGTTGCGACAGCGCAGGGCCGCGAATTGGGCCGCAGTTTTGGGCCGCGAGGCCATGCGACAGGGTCAGCCGTGCCATGGTGGCGTACGGTCAGCCAGCTGGAGGCCGCTCCTGGGCCAGCGTCGCAGCGGGCGGCAAGGCCAAGGGCAACTGGAGCTACTGGGTCTGCTCCAGCGGCCAGTGCAGGGAGTGGAGCTGGTGCTCGCTCTGGAAGTGCCGCAGCTGCGGCCGAGTGGCCCCGCCTTGGGTCAAGGCAGCCCAGCCGCCCGCGGATGTCGCTGGCCAGGAGCCACCCGTCGCCGACGCCGAGGGCTTCGTCGTCCAGCCCCGTGGGAGGAAGGCGAGGCGCCAGGCCAAGCGCGCTGCTGCCCGCGCGGCCAGCGCGGGGGCCGCCAGTCTGGCAGGCGTCAGCGAGGCCAGCAGCGTGCAGCCGTCGGCCGTCGAGCGGCACCGCCAGGAGGTCAAGCGCATCGAGGACTTCCTCGCGGCCCCTGGCGGGGCCATCGACGATGCGTGCCTGCAGTCGCTGCGCGCGGCCCTCGACCGCGAGCGTCGCAGGCTCTCGGCAGCCGAGGCGGCGCAGGCGGAGCGCAGGGAGGCCGACATCCCCCTGCCCAAGGCGCTCCACGGCGCAGGCAACGCCCTGGGGAAGCTGGTCAGGCAGGGGCGGGCCAAGGAGCAGGCGCTGCTCAAGGCAGAGGAGGCCCACGCGGCAGCCATCGGAGAGCGCGAGGCGGCCATCGCGCGCGAGGCCGCATGCGCCGAGGCTGTCGAGGAGTGCCACGAGCTGCTCCCGGGCCCACGGGAGGACAGAGGGCCGCAGAGGGCGGAAAGCCAAGGACGGTCGGCGCGGCCTCGTTCCCCCCCGGCGCAGGAATTGCAGGGATGGTCTTCGGCCCGTCCAGCAGGTCGAGGCCTTGCCAAAGGCTTTTTTTTTATTTGCTTTTTTTTTCGCCGCGGGCAAACGGGGGAGGCCGCCTTCGCTGGGGTCGCCAAGCAGATCGCCGCGGTCCGCAGGCATGCACCCCCCGAGGCCAGGGGGCGCCCATCCTGGGCCGACACCCCCCTCGACGTCTCGGTCGAGGACCCCGACGGAGATGTGGGGGAGCGGGTGCGTGCGTCGTCGGCCCCCCCCCCCCCCCCCTCCCCTCTGCAGGACGCGGCCGAGCGCGGCCAAGCTGCGCGGCGAGGAGAGGTGCGCGGTGCGTGGCCCTCAGCCCAGCCGCTGGCTAGGGACCTGGCCAACGCTGGGGCAGCCCTCCTCGACGACCAGCCGCTGGCTACGGCTGCTGGTGGCCATGCTGCTGGGGGCCGCAGTCGGGTTTGACGCCGATTCGGCAGGCCCGTGTTCGGTTGACAGCAGGAGGGTCAGACGGCGCTTGAGTGAGCAGGTGCCAGTGGAGCGGGGGGGGGGGCAATGCCTTTCCCTGGGCCTGGGCAAACCTGCGAGTGCGGCGCCTGGCCGAGGGGGGGGGCGATGAGGGCCGCCGGCGGGCGGGTGGCCGATGCCCCTCACCCCCCCGCGCTCCCCGTCGAGGCCGCCGACGAGCGGGTGGCCGAGACCCTCGACGGGCGCAGCGAAGCCAAGGTGTCAAGTGACCAGAGGACGAGGATGACGGCACAGGAGGCCTGCATCGGCAAGGCTCGCCTCGGGCCGCAGCCTGCCCCTGAGTCTGACCCCCGAGGACCTTGCCCCCTGCGTGCTGGCCTGGAGGTCCTGGGCTGCAGCGGTAACGTCTGGAACAGGAGCGTCGAGGTCCTCGAGGCCTTCTTCCACGCCCACCAGTACTGGCCGCAGCTGGTCCTCCTTCAGGAGACGAGGCTAACCCAGGAGCGCCTTCCTGGGGCCAGGGCGCTGGCACGCCGCCTCGGCTACGCCGCCTTCTTCCACGAGGCGGTGGCCGCGGACCAGCCTGGCCCGAACGCCACGTCGGGCGGCGTCGCGATCCTGGTGAGGGCTGGACTCCAGGCCGAGGGGTCCGCATGCCAGCTCCCTGCGGCCCTGCGCCGCCGCCTCATCGGCGTAGAGGTGACGGCGCCGTCGGGCCTCCGCCTCCTGGCCTTGGCTGGGTACTTCCAGCGCTCCTTGGGCCCGCGGAGGATCAACCTCGACCTGTTCTCCTCGGTCTCGGACCTAGTGGCATTCTCGCTCGACTTGCCCTAGGTCCTCCAGGCCGATTTCAACATGGGGCCCGAGCCCCTGCAGGAGTTGGGCTGGTCTGCAGCGGTTCGCGGTCAGGTGCTCGGACCCTCTGAGGCGACCTGCTGCGCCCAGGGCTTGGAGCACGTCTACGACTGGTTCGTCGCGTCGTCCGACCTGGCCACGTGCGCGGCGTCCTGCGCGACCACGCTCAAAGACTTCGGGCTGCGCCCGCACTCTCCTGTGCTGCTGCGCCTCCAGGGCGTCAGGTGCGATGCCCTGGTCGAGGTGCCCTCCCGTCCTGCTCGGTTTCCAGAGGTGGGGGTCAAAGGCCTGCGCTCCCGCGAGGACGCCCTGGTCCAGGCCTTCACTGTCGGCAAGCGCGGGAAGGTTTCGCAGAAGGATGTAGCTTGGTCATGGGCTCAGGGTTCGCGCCCGACCTGTCTCTCTGCTGCCTTCGGCGAGTGGATCGAGGCGGCGGAGGGCACTCTCTCGGGCATCCACGGGATTGCGCCAGGCGGCCTGCCGCGCTACCTTGGGCGAGCGGCAGGGCCCAAGACCAGGCGCATGCCCTTCAGCGCGCTGGTGCAGCGCGAGGCCAGGTTGAAGTACAGCATGCTGGCCCACCGCCTGAGGAGCTGCCTAGCGGTCGCCCTCCAGAGGCTTCGCGCCGAGCAGGCCAGCAGGTAGCGCCCGAACCACTCTTGGTGGTATGAGCAGGAGGCTGCGGCGAGGGCGAAGCTCCTGGACGAGGCGACCCAGGAGGAGGCTGGTCTTCGGAGCGCGCCCCTCCCTGGAGCCTCCGACGAGAAGTGGGGTGACCTCGCCTTCCACGCGGGGGTGAAGGGCTGCCCCGCGGCGATCGCCAAGCTGCAGTCGTGGCTCCTGGCGTCCCAGAGGCGCGATGCCGCTGAAGGTACTGCCGCTTGGCGCGGCTGGGCCCAGACGGCGGTGGAGAAAGGAGGCCGCCTGGCCCACCGCTTCTCCAAGGCGGCTCCCACGCCTGTGGTCAGGGACGCCGACACAGGGAGGCCCCTCGTCGGCGTGGACGCCGTGGACCAGCTCACGCGCACGTGGCAGCGGCTCTGGCTCCAGGAAGGCTTCTCCAGCGGAGTCGGAGCCCACCGGTGGGATGTTGGCTCCTGGGCGCTGCCTCCCATCACCCTGGAGGCCTTGCAGCAGGCGTTCAAGCGCTACGGCCTGTCTGTGGGGCTGGGCTGCGACAACCTGCACCCTCGCCAGCTTCTTCTGCTGCCAGTGGCGCTGCAGCTTCGCCTGATTGACATCCTCACGGCGTTCGAGGACGAGCCTTCTTCGATCAGGGGACAGGTGGCGCTCGTGGTTTTTATTCCTAAAGCTGACGGAGGGACGAGGCCCATCGCGCTGCTCCCGCTGGCCTTGCGGCTTTGGTCTCGCCTGAGGCAGCCGTGCTGTGCCCGATGGGAGTCAGACCACAGCTTCCCCTTCTTCTGGGGTCGCGATGGCCGTGATTGTGAAAGAGCGGGTTGGATCCACAACTGATTCGCGGGCTTCGCGATGGCCTCCCCGCATTTCGAGGTGGCCAGCCTGTTCCTGGACATCCGCAGGTTCTACGAGCACGTGCGCCACGACGTCCTCTGGACGTCAGCCCAGCGCTTCGGCTTCAACCTGAAGCTGCTGCGCGGCCTCCTCGCCATCTACCAGGCCCCGAGGATCGTGCTGGCAGGTGGCATGGCTTCGGCCCCCTTTGGGGCCAGTGGCACAGTGCTGGCGGGCTGCGCGTGCGCGACGGCTGTTGCTAAGCTTCCCCTTCTTGGAGGTCTCCTCGCAGCTGGGGCTCAGCGGCCTCTTGCCACCCTGCGCAACTTGGTGGGCGACGTCTCGCTCCAAGCTGTCGGCTCGGCGAGGCTGGTTGTGGACCAGCTCGTGGGGGCCAGCGGGGAGGTGCTGCGACACCTGCGGGCCCGCCACCTCCCGCTCAATGAGGGCAAGTCCGTGTTCCTGGCCTCGTCGGCACAGGTGGCGGACGGCCTCGCCGCCAGCTGGGCCGCCCTCGGCTTCGAGGTCAAGCGCGGCTCCCAGGCCCGCAACCTGGGCACCGACGCAAACGTGACCCGCAGAGGGGTCCACGAGGGAGGCGCCCGCGCTGTGGGGGGCCTCTCCCGCGCCAGGCGGCTGAGAACCCTGGGCTCGGCGGGGGCCGCGGTGGTGCACATGCGCCGCGCTGGCCCAACCGCCGCCATGCTGTGGGGCAGGACGGTCACAGGGGTGCCCGGCGGCGAGCTTCACTCCTGGCGCCTGGCGGCTGCGCGCTCGGCAGGGAAGCTTCCCAAGGGCGCCTCCCTTGGGCTGAGGCTCAGGGCGATCGAGGTGCAGCGCTCCGCCGACCTGGGCCCGAGCCCAGCCCTGGTGCGCGCCGCGGTGCAGGTGGCAGCCAGCCTCCTTCAGACGGGCGAGGTGCCCCTGAGGATGTTCGCTACCTGTCTGGCGGAGGCCGAGCGCAGGCGCGGCAGCGCCAGGGCGCCCTGGGTGAACTGCAAAAACCCCGTCGACGCCCTGGCCCTCTCTCTGTTGCGGGTTGGGTGGCGTCTCTCGGCTGGGCACATCCTGCACACCGACGACGGCCACACCTTGGACATGCTGATCATGGGCCCCCGCGAGCTCGGGCTGCTGGCTGCGGCAGGTGCCCGCAGGGCCTCCGACAGGGCTGAGATGGCGCGGCTTGGGCACGGAGCCGCCCCCTCCATGCCCTTGTTTTGGGACGCACTCGGCCAGGTCATCGGCCCGCGCGGCAGGTTCAGCTGCAGGGAGAAGGCAGCGGTGGTGAGCTACCTGTCCAACGCCCACTGGCCGCAGACTCGCCTCTTCGCGTCTGGTGAGCGGGGCCACCCTCGCTGCTGCGCCTGTGGCGAGGTGCGTGGCAGCCTCTGGCACAGGCTTCTCGAGTGCCAAGCCCTGGCCGCTGAGAGGAGGGACTCGGTGTCAGCCCGCCTCCTTCGCTGCGCCACTCGTGTGAGGCAGCGAGGTGAGGAGGCGGGGGGGTGCTTCTCCAGGTGCTGGCTGCCGCAGCCCCCGCAGACGGCCTGGAGGTCGGACGCGATGGCAGTCATGTGGGTGAACAGGCCTGCCGACGGGCTGCTAGGCGGTCGCCTTTTCCTCGACGGCTCGGCGCTCGACCCTGAGTTCGAATGTATCCGCAGGGCTGGCTGGAGTATCGTGCAGTGCGACGAGTTCGGCATCCTGGAGGCGGCGGTGTACGGCACGGTCTGCCTCGACCTGTGCCCCTTCCAGACGGCGAAGGACGGCGAGGACTTCGCGGTCTGGATGCTGAGCCGCTACCTCGGGCCTTCGATCATCGAGATCAACATCGACTGTGCGTCCACAGTCAGCTGCTTGAAGCTCGGCAGGAAGTATGCGACGGCGGCCAACAAGCCCAATGCACACCTGTGGTCGGCCGTCTACGCCTCGCTGGACGTCGACTCGCTCAATGTGAACAAGGTGGCGGCCCACTGCACCGATATCGATGTTCGCGAAGGCAGGATCTCGGAGTGTCAGTGGCTTGGGAACGCCCACGCCGACAGGCTGGCGAAGGCGGGGGCGGCCCTCCACAGGGTCAGCGCGGTGGCCAGGCGCGAGTTCTTCGGCGCGGTGGAGGTCGTGAGAGAGCTCTCCAGGTGGATCGCGCAGGCCTCGATCGTCTGGCAGGACAGGGCCCCCAAGGACTGCGAGGGTCTCCCTGAGTGCGACGAGCGAAGGACTGCTGTCACCTTCGCGGTCCCGCTCGAGGAGCGTGCTGACGGCCTGCGGGCGGCTCCCGTGAGCGAGTCGGGTGCCCCGCCCGCCGCCGTGGGGGCCCGCGCGGAGCAGGCAGGCAGCCGCCCCGCCGCTGTCGGCGCCTGGGCCTCTGCGGCGCGCGACGGCGGAGTAGCTCTGGGCGCCCTGGTCTTCGCCGTCGCTGGGCGCGCCCTCGCGCGCGCCAGGTGCGGTGAGGACGGCGACCAGCAGGATATCATTGCGTGCACCAGGTGCGGAGCGTATGCGAGGCTTGGCGGACGCCCTGGCCCGCAGCCCAAGCTCAGGGAGCGCTGTCCTGGAGCAACGGGCCTCCCCAGGTCGCTGCGGGACCAGAAGTCGCGGTGGGAGCGTGGCCTCCACCCTGGGGGCACGCCGCGCGCCCGCGACACGCGGAGGAAGGGGGCGGATGCCCCGCGCCTTCGCAAGGAGGCCGAGGTGCCGCAGGACGCCAGGGTGCGCTTCCTGAAGTGGCTCGGAGTCCAGCCTGATGCCCCAGCAGGCGTCGAGGGCAGCGCCTCGGTGGCCGGCGCTGCTGGGGGCGGCGCTGGCGGCGCGGCCCCCTCCTCGACAGAGCTGCCCGCTGCGGCTGGAGGCGCCGCGGCGGGAGCGGGATCGCGGCAGGCCTGGCTGGAAGCCTACGGCCTCGATGAGGAGAGCCTGCTGGGCTGGGCCGAGGAGGCTGAGGAGGCCCGACTTGAGCGCCAGAGCAGAAAGCGGCGCAGAGATGACGGAGATGGAGGTGATTGAGTCCGCGCTGGCCCCAGCCTTGGGGCGCTCGGACCGCGCGAACGCGCGTGTGCCGAGCCTTGGCCGCTCCTGGCTGTGGAGCGCCAGCCTGCCTCTCCTCCTGTCCTCCCTCTGCGTCCGTCTCCTGTCCTCCCGTGCGTTTTGGACCCCTGGTGGCCGCGGGCCTCGGCTTGTGGGCGCGAAGCTTCCTGCGCCTCGCCTGCCTCGCCGTGCCGCTTGGGGCTGTGCAAGCGTGTTTGGGGCGTCGCCCGTCGCTTGTCTGCGCGGTTGTATATATTCCAGCGCTTCGCGCTGATGCCCCTCGACGGGGGTCTGAGCTGACAGGCCGAGCGGTGCCTCGGGGCCGATGTGCCCTGATGGCAGCCTTCTGCGGCTCGTCTGGGCTCTCGGGATCCCTTGTGGCCCGCCCCTTGTCTTGGGACGGCCCCTTGTGGCTTTGGCCCCTCAGTGGGGCCTGGGCCCTCTGTGGGCTCTTTTTTAGCCTTTATAGGCCCCGCGTCAACAGACACAGACACAGACACAGACACCGACGCAGACACAGACACAGACACAGACACAGACACAGACACAGACACATACACAGACACACAGACACACAGACACACATATACACATACACACAGACACACAGACACACAGACACACAGACACACAGACACACAGACACACAGACACACAGACACGCAGACACGCAGACACAGACACAGACACAGACACAGACACAGACACAGACACATATACAGACACAGGCACAGACACAGACACAGACACAGACACAGACACAGACACAGACACAGACACAGACACAGACACAGACACAGACACAGACACAGACACAGACACAGACACAGACACAGACACAGACACAGACACAGACACAGACACAGACACAGACACAGACACAGACACAGACACAGACACAGACACAGACACAGACACAGACACAGACACAGACACAGACACAGACACAGACACAGACACAGACACAGACACAGACACAGACACAGACACAGACACAGACACAGCACAGGCACAGGCACAGGCACAGACACAGACACAGACACAGACACATACACATTCCGTAGCCATTCTGGCTCAAGGCCATGGAGCACCCGACGACCGCGAGTCGTCCGCGGCGCTCTGAGCGCGAGGGGCTCTTCGCTTTGGGCCAGCTCACAAGTGATTGTTCTTCGTGCCGACAGCACGGGCCGCGAGGCCGCAGTTTTGGGCCGCGAGGCCACGCGTCGGGGTCAGCCTTGCCATGGTGGCGTACGGGCAGGCAGCTGGAGGCCGCTCCTGGGCCAGCGTCGCGGCGTGCGGCAAGGCCAAGGGCAACTGGAGCTACTGGGTCTGCTCCAGCGGCCAGTGCAGGGAGTGGAACTGGTGCTCGCTCTGGAAGTGTCGCAGCTGCGGCCGAGTGGCCCCGCCTTGGGTCAAGGCAGCCCAGCCGCCCGCGGCTGCCGCTGGCCAGGAGCCGCCCGTCGCCGACGCCGAGGGCTTCGTCGTCCAGCCCCGTGGGAGGAAGGCGAGGCGCCAGGCCAAGCGCACTGCTGCCCGCGCGGCCAGCGCGGGGGCCGCCAGTCGGGCAGGCGTCCGCGAGGCCAGCAGCGTGCAGCCGTCGGCCGTCAAGCGGCACCGCCAGGAGGGCAAGCGCATCGAGGACTTCCTCGCGGCCCCTGGCGGGTCCATCGGCGATGGGCGCCTGCAGTCGCTGCGCGGGGCCCTCGACCGCGAGCGTCGCAGGCTCTCGGCAGCCGAGGCGGCGCTGGCGGAGCGCAGGAAGGCCGACATCCCCCTGCCCAAGGCGCTCCACGGCGCAGGCAACGCCATGGGGAAGCTGGCCAGGCAGGGGCGGGCCAAGGGGCAGGCGCTGCTCAAGGCAGAGGAGGCCCACGCGGCAGCCATCGGAGAGCGTGAGGCGGCCATCGCGCGCGAGGCCGCATGCGCTGAGGCGGTCGAGGAGTGCCGAGCTGCTCTCGAGGCTCACCGCGAGGAACAGAGGGCCGCAGAGGCCAGGCAAGCCAAGGAGGTCGGCGCGGCCTTCGTCGGCGCGGACTTGCTCGGGATGGTATTCGGCCTCAGCCAGCAGGTCGAGGCCTTGCCCCAAGACTTCGCCGCGGGCAACGGGGAGGCCGCCTTCGCTGAGGTCGCCAAGCAGATCGCAGCGGTCCGCAGGCATGCCCCCCCCGAGGCCAGGGGGCGCTCATCCTGGGCCGACACCCCCCTCGACGTCTCGGACGAGGACCTCGACGGAGATGAGGAGGAACGGGTGCGTGCGTCGTCGGCCCCCCATCTGCAGGACGCGGCCGAGCGCGGCCAAGCTGCGCGGCGAGGAGAGGCGCACGGTGCGTGGCCCTCAGCCCAGCCGCTGGCTAGGGACCTGGCCAGGGGCAGCCCTCCTCGACGACCAGCCGCTGGCTACGGCTGCTGGTGGCCATGCTGCTGTGGGCCGCAGTCGGGTTTGACGTCGATTCGGCAGGCCCGTGTTCGGTTGACAGCAGGAGGGTCAGACGGCGCTTGAGTGAGCAGGTGCCAGTGGAGCGGGGGGCCCAATGCCTTTCCCTGGGCTTGGGCAAACCTGCGAGTGCGGCACCTGGCCGAGGGGGAGCGATGAGGGCCGCCGGCGGGCGGGTGGCCGATGCCCCTCACCCCCCCGCGCTCCCCGTCGAGGCCGCTGACGGGCGGGTGGCCGAGACCCTCGACGGGCGCAGCGAAGCCATGGTGTCAAGTGACCAGAGGACGAGGATGACGGCACAGGAGGCTTGCATTGGCAAGGCTTGCCTCGGGCCGCAGCCTGCCCCTGAGTCTGACCCTCGAGGACCTTGCCCCCTGCGTGCTGGCCTGGAGGTCCTGGGCTGCAGCGGTAACGTCTGGAACAGGAGCGTCGAGGTCCTCGAGGCCTTCTTCCACGCCCACCAGTACTGGCCGCAGCTGGTCCTCCGAGACGAGGCTAACCCAGGAGCGCCTTCCTGGGGCCAGGGCGCTGGCACGCCGCCTCGGCTACACCGCCTTCTTCCACGAGGCGGTGGCCACGGACCAGCCTGGCCCGAACGCCACGTCGGGCGGCGTCGCGATCCTGGTGAGGGCTGGACTCCAGGCCGAGGAGTCCGCATGCCAGCTCCCTGCGGCCCTGCGCCACCGCCTCATCGGCGTAGAGGTGACGGCGCCGTCGGGCCTCCGCCTCCTGGCGTTGGCTGGGTACTTCCAGCGCTCCTTGGGCCCGCGGTGGATCAACCTCGACCTGTTCTCCTCGGTCTCGGACCTAGTGGCATTCTCGCTCGACTTGCCCTGGGTCCTCCAGGCTGATTTCAACATGGAGCCCGAGCCCCTGCAGGAGTTGGGCTGGCCTGCAGCGGTTCGCGGTCAGGTGCTCGGACCCTCTGAGGCGACCTGCTGTGCCCAGGGCTTGGAGCACGTCTACGACTGGTTCGTCGCGTCGTCCGACCTGGCCACGTGCACGGCGTCCTGCGCGACCACGCTCAAAGACTTCGGGCTGCACCCGCACTCTCCTGTGCTGCTGCGCCTCCAGGACGTCAGGTGCGATGCCCTGGTCGAGGTGCCCTCCCGTCCTGCTCGGTTTCCAGCGGTGGAGGTCAGAGGCCTGCGCTCCCGCGAGGACGCCCTGGTCCAGGCCTTCACTGTCGGCAAGCGCGGGAAGGTGTCGCAGAAGGATGTAGCTTGGTCATGGGCTCAGGGTTCGCGCCCGACCTGTCTCTCTGCTGCCTTCGGCGAGTGGATCGAGGCGGTGGAGGGCACTCTCTCGGGCATCCACGGGATTGCGCCAGGCGGCCTGCCGCGCTACCTTGGGCGAGCGGCAGGGCCCAAGACCAGGCGCATGCCCTTCAGCGCGCTGGTGCAGCGCGAGGCCAGGTTGAAGTACAGCTTGCTGACCCACCGCCTGAGGAGCTGCCTAGCGGTCGCCCTCCAGAGGCTTCGCGCCGAGCAGGCCAGCAGGTGGCACCCAAACCACTCTTGGTGGTATGAGCAGGAGGCTGCGGCGAGGGCGAAGCTCCTGGACGCGGCGACCCAGGAGGAGGCTGGTCTTCGGAGCGCGCCCCTCCCTGGAGCCTCCGGCGAGAAGTGGGGTGACCTCGCCTTCCACGCGGGGGTGAAGGGCTGCCCCACGGCGATCGCCAAGCTGCAGTCGTGGCTCCTGGCGTCCCAGAGGCGCGACGCCGCTGAAGGTGCTGCCGCTTGGCGCGGCTGGGCCCAGGCGGCGGTGGAGAAAGGAGGCCGCCTGGCCCACCGCTTCTCCAAGGCGGCTCCCACGCCTGTGGTCAGGGACGCCGACACAGGGAGGCCCCTCGTCGGCATGGGCGCCGTGGACCAGCTCACGCGCACGTGGCAGCGGCTCTGGCTCCAGGAAGGCTTCTCCAGCGGAGTCGGAGCCCACCGGTGGGATGTTGGCTCCTGGACGCTGCCGCCCATCACCCTGGAGGCCTTGCAGCAGGCGTGCAAGCGCTACGGCCCGTCTGTGGGGCTGGGCTGCGACAACCTGCACCCTCGCCAGCTTCTTCTGCTGCCAGTGGCGCTGCAGCTTCGCCTGATTGACATCCTCACGGCGTTCGAGGACGAGCCTTCTTCGATCAGGGGACAGGTGACGCTCATTGTTTTTATTCCTAAAGCTGACGGAGGGACGAGGCCCATCGCGCTGCTCCCGCTGGCCTTGCGGCTTTGGTCTCGCCTGAGGCAGCCGTGCTGTGCCCGATGGGAGTCAGACCACGGCTTCCCCTTCTTCTGGGGTCGCGATGGCCGTGATTGCGAAAGAGCGGGTTGGATCCACAACAGCTTCGCGGGCTTCGCGATGGCCTCCCCGCATTTCGAGGTGGCCAGCCTGTTCCTGGACATCCGCAAGTTCTACGAGCACGTGCGCCACGACGTCCTCTGGACGTCAGCCCAGCGCTTCGGCTTCAACCTGAAGCTGCTGCGCGGCCTCCTCGCCATCTACCAGGCCCCGAGGATCGTGCTGGCAGGTGGCATGGCTTCGGCCCCCTTTGGGGCCAGTGGCACAGTGTTGGCGGGCTGCGCGTGCGCGACGGCTGTTGCTAAGCTTCCCCTTCTTGGAGGTTTCCTCGCAGCTGGGGCTCAGCGGCCTCTTGCCACCCTGCGCAACTTGGTGGGCGACGTCTCGCTCCAAGCTGTCGGCTCGGCGAGGCTGGTTGTGGACCAGCTCGTGGGGGCCAGCGGGGAGGTGCTGCGACACCTGCGGGCCCGCCACCTCCCGCTCAATGAGGGCAAGTCCGTGTTCCTGGCCTCGTCGGCACAGGTGGCGGACGGCCTCGCCGCCAGCTGGGCCGCCCTCGGCTTCGAGGTCAAGCGCGGCTCCCAGGCCCGCAACCTGGGCACCGACGCCAACGTGACCCGCAGAGGGGTCCACGAGGGAGGCGCCCGCGCTGTGGGAGGCCTCTCCCGCGCCAGGCGGCTGAGAACCCTGGGCTCGGCGGGGGCCGCGGTGGTGCACATGCACCGCGCTGGCCCAACCGCCGCCATGCTGTGGGGCAGGACGGTCACAGGGGTGCCCGACGGCGAGCTTCACTCCTGGCGCCTGGCGGCTGCGCGCTCGGCAGGGAAGCTTTCCAAGGGCGCCTCCCTTGGGCTGAGGCTCAGGGCGATCGAGGTGCAGCGCTCCACCGACCTGGACCCGAGCCCAGCCCTGGTGCGCGCCGCGGTGCAGGTGGCAACCAGCCTCCTTCAGACGGGCGAGGTGCCCCTGAGGATGTTCGCTACCTGTATGGCGGAGGCTGGGCGCAGGCACGGCAGCGACAGGGCGCCCTGGGTGAACTGCAAGAACCCCGTCGACGCCCTGGCCCTCTCTCTGTTGCGGGTTGGGCGGCGTCTCTCGGCTGGGCACATCTTGCACACCGACGACGGCCACACCTTGGACATGCTGATCATGGGCCCCCGCGAGCTCGGGCTGCTGGCTGCGGCAGGTGCCCGCAGGGCCTCCGACAGGGCTGAGATGGCGCGGCTTGGGCACGGAGCCGCCCCCTCCATGCCCTTGTTTTGGGGCGCACTCGGCCAGGTCATCGGCCCGCGCGGCAGGTTCAGCTGCAGGGAGAAGGCAGCGGTGGTGAGCTACCTGTCCAACGCCCACTGGCCGCAGACTCGCCTCTTCGCGTCTGGTGAGCGGGGCCACCCTCGCTGCTGCGCCTGTGGCGAGGTGCGTGGCAGCCTCTGGCACAGGCTTTTCGAGTGCCAAGCCCTGGCCGCTGAGAGGAGGGACTCGGTGTCAGCCCGCCTCCTTCGCTGCGCCACTCGTGTGAGGCAGCGAGGTGAGGAGGCGGGGGGGTGCTTCTCCAGGTGCTGGCTGCCGCAGCCCCCGCAGACGGCCTGGATGTCGGACGCGATGGCAGTCATGTGGGTGAACAGGCCTGCCGACGGGCTGCTAGGCGGTCGCCTTTTCCTCGGCGGCTCGGCGCTCGACCCTGAGTTCGAATGTATCCGCAGGGCTGGCTGGAGTATCGTGCAGTGTGACGAGTTCGGCATCATGGAGGCGGCGGTGTACGGC